TTGTAGCATATAAGTGTACGTACTTTACGTCTAAACAACTTATGTGATGGTTTCCTATTTGTAGTGACGTTTGCCCTCTGAAGATGGTCCACAGAGACCGAAACATGTAAGGGTGTTAAGTTTTCATGTAGTAAAAAACTTACAGGTCACATTGGACGGAGTGATTTATATTTGGAAGTTAATACTAGATTATGACAACACCACACACTATGGAGGAAACATGCAAACCAGGGGTATATGACAGTCATAACTGAAAAGTAGACTACAAACCTGAGGGGCAAGCTGCCGAGACAAAACACCCTGGACAGACATACGTTTATGAAATGGATGACACCCCGTGTAAGGTTAAATAATATGCACCAAAATAACGTGGGTATAATAGAAACTTTAAAGGATTTTATCTAGTTTTACCTTGAAAAGAGGACTACAGNTTTCCTATTTGTAGTGACGTTTGCCCTCTGAAGATGGTCCACAGAGACCGAAACATGTAAGGGTGTTAAGTTTTCATGTAGTAAAAAACTTACAGGTCACATTGGACGGAGTGATTTATATTTGGAAGTTAATACTAGATTATGACAACACCACACACTATGGAGGAAACATGCAAACCAGGGGTATATGACAGTCATAACTGAAAAGTAGACTACAAACCTGAGGGGCAAGCTGCCGAGACAAAACACCCTGGACAGACATACGTTTATGAAATGGATGACACCCCGTGTAAGGTTAAATAATATGCACCAAAATAACGTGGGTATAATAGAAACTTTAAAGGATTTTATCTAGTTTTACCTTGAAAAGAGGACTACAGTGTGTGATTTTAACACGAACTAAGACAGTGTAGCAGTTTAACATAATTTGATAAAATATTTGTAACATATCAAGACACCTGAAGATGACTGTTTGGGGCCGAAACATGTAGTGTCAAGGTGTATAATGTTAAACTAAAATTGAGTGGTAAATGGAAGAGTGTTGCAATATTGAAGGATGATAAATAATGGATGTTAAGTTGAACAACTGCAACGGGATGCTGAAAATCAGAATCTCAACCTCAATTTGAGTACTGAATTTCAGTCTAAAATTTTGAGAATTTTCAGTTCCCAGCTTCCGCGTTGTCAGTAACACACAAACCTCGCAATCCATGAGAAATGTAATGGCAGACAATGCTAACATGAGCAAACATGCAAAATGGACTTGATCATTTCAGTGCACTGGGAAAGGAGGCTAGTGTTACAAACTGTGATTAGAGTGAAAAAATTTGTCTAGCAGAGAAAATGCTTATTCTTGTCTTGATTTCTAAATCTTTTCAAATTCCTATCTTGATTATTTATTCTTGAAAGCATACTAAGAATCACATTATACATTTGAGCTTATTTTGAAACCAAAACAGTATAAATTGCGAGCAAATGTTCACCTCCTTAGTCTGTGACGGGTAGCTTCATCTCCAGATACAAGACTCAAAGCTGCAACTTCTATAACATCCTTCATACTGTTGTTTAATAACAACTTTAGATCCTGTTTCTGTGGTTTGTATGTCACTTTGATCTTAGCAGATGTTCCTTCAAGCATCACAAGTTCTGATGGCTCGACAATAAGACTTACTGTACTCATATTCTGGAATCCTGCAAAATGACAGAATCATGACAATCTGGGCTAATAGTGGGGAAAACAGTACAAACATATTCACTGCCCAAATCGATGTAGACTTTAATACAGCACCTGTTGATGTAAATCAATTTAGAACAGCTCTCCCTATAATGTGAATATGATTACAAATGACTGCATCACCAATGAAAGGAGGCTGCATGAAGAGTCATTTATATTATTACCAACTGCCCAGTATTTTTCTCCCCTTTGATTTCCTCCGTCATATTTGGGGCATGTGTTAGTGTAGTTGGTTGAGGCACTGTACTACAAGTTGAAAGGTCATGGGTTTGAATCCCAATGAGGTGGATTTTTTCAATTTACGTGATCCTTCCAACCGCATTATGGCCCTGGTGTTGACTCAGCCTCTAACAGAAATGAGTACCAGGAATTCTCCTGTGGGGTAAAAGGTGGCCAGCACATAAGGCTGACAACCTTATTGCCAACTGTCTAGAGAAAATCTGGGAGCCTCGACATCTCACAACCCTATGGGCCTTCATGGCCTGTTACAGGGAGAACTTTACCTTTTACATTTTACCTTTACCCTGTCATATTTATTATGCATTCCTGTACAGTCTATGTGGCAATGAGGCAGCAATTTTCAGGAGCACTAACAGGAGAGAAAATTGAAGAAATTGCAAATAGCGGTGATCCTGAAACAGAATTAATACCCAAACCAAGTCCATCAAAAGTGAAGAAGACATTTCAGGATGATCAGGATTTTCTAAAAGCAAGTGTCATACAATCATTTAACCTGCTATCACCAGTCCTGTATTACAATTTGCATTCAGAGGCAGCCACAACCTGACTGAGTACACGGAACATTTTAGAACCATTACGTTTTGCAGGTAATGGTCAGCCGCAACCTGACTGTGTATCTGGAATATTTTATAACTATAACTTATAAAGATCATTGTCAGACAAACTAATCTATGTGCACAATAATAAACTGCAGTACAGTCAGTCCCACACCACCAAAATGGACACTAAAATGTCCCAAATGGTCAAATAGATAAGAAAAACCTCTATCTCATTCAAATTCCTGCAGCAACAGGTGACAAAAATTACTGATAACATGCAGAATGCTTCGAAAAGAACAATAAGAAAGCTGCCACACACGCTCAAAACGTATGTAAGGCGAGGTAATGTTCATATTTTTCCTTGTTGAATTATGAGCTTTTTTCTTCATATCGCAACATGATGGATGAAAGCTGGAATAGTAGAACAAGAGATGGCCATTGCTAGGCAATGGTGCGGTAAATAAAATCCACAGCAACAAATAAACATGCAACAATAGAAGAACTACTGGAATCAGTGTTTTCTGTGTGGTCCACTCTAAGGCTATACAGTGAGGACCAACAGGAAAAGTTGGCCAGTTGGAGGTCAGAGTCTGTGGTTAGCAGCCACACATTGCAAGTGAGAAGTGGTAGTACATGGTTGGTCATGATGAATCTCCATTGTTAGCAGCGACTACTTAGAGATGATAGGGATGACAGAATAACAAATATACGACCTGTAGAGCATGTAAATTAGTGATGGCATTATAATCATTTGTAGTTACGTGAAATCAATCCATTTATCAATCCAAACCTCATGTCTAGTGACTAAGATGGGACAATATAGTGCAGAATTGCACCCTGAACTTAAAACATCATTTAAAGTGAAGCCTGAATTTAAAACCCAAGCAGTGAATGTGTTAATTTATACTACACATAATCCACTACTCAATTTATAATTGAGGAAAGCATTCCAATAAATAATTCAGTTTTCATTCTCATGCACCATATGGCTGAACGAGACAATGAATTAAGAGTTTTGTCATCTGGGATATAGTGCCGCATAGTCTGTTGAAAGTCAGCTGAGGTTTTGGAGGAATATGTTGCCTCCATCTTCATTGTTGAAGAAACCAAGCAAGAAGCCAGTATGAAGCAGGTAGAAAGCAGAGCCGAGCTGGAGGCAATATGTTCCTTCAAAATGCCGGCTGACTTTCAAGACTTTGTGGCATTATATTCCAGAAGACAGAACTCTTCAAGACCACTTCTATAAGAACCTCAAATCCTAGGAGACAATGAATTGTCTGGAGCATCTGGAGCTTTCTTCTACAAAATGACGGACAGTAGACTATAATAATTATTTAATGTACAAGTGTTATCTTACAAGAACACCATTTCATTGCAAATATTGGTGTGACTATCTAGTTCATACGTTTTCCTTATTTCAGAAAGATTCCTCAGGAGAGTCTGTTAAATGACTGCCATCAAATATTGATGTGACACATCACAGTGATCAGCCTGTAAAAGGAGGAATCATGAAGAATGTCTACAACACACTTTGACTTGGGAGGGGTGGGAGGCAAGTGCACTACTGCAGGAAATCATCACACTATGGATGATACATTGTAATCTTAGGACAATACTGAGATTAACATCATCTTATATTACATTAGGATAAGTTGGATGAAAAAAGCCACATTAGTGTAATATATATAATAATATAAATATTTGAACATCACCTTTAGAAATAGGTTTAATTTTTATAAAAGCCTTCAAATCACCAAAATTCTGTAGAGAGAAGCTTGTTTCCCAGACTGTTTTATGAGGATCTTGGTGTAACATAAGCCACATACGACCTGCACCATCTCTGGGTACACCCTTGGCTATCAATCGGGCATGACCTCCAAAGCTATACATTGGAATCTAAAAAAAATTAATAAATTTAAAATTCAAGACTCTCTCATAAAGACTTCTCCAAAGAACTTTCAATGCTTAAACCTTCAGCCTGACATAATCCACATGGTACACCAGACAAACATTCTACTTGCAGTTTCCAGTACATCGTTATGTTTAGCTGCGAGTGACATTTCTATGGCCTCTAGCTGTGAAACTAAAAATATCAAAACGTGATTTGAACTAAGTTATGACAAAGGCTAGGTACAGATATGAGTGATAGCCCTTAACAGGTATGTTGTAGTTCCTGCACATTGTCACTGAGATTTGTGGTTTCTAACATACATGGTGTGTCCAGGATCCATTAGGACTAATTTTTTTAAATTTTGCCCTGCAATGCCATCTGTTGGCCAGTTGTGGCGTTAACATTCTTGAAATTTCAGCTGTGGCTGTCTATAATTTCAAAGCGCAAGCATCGCTGCATCATGTGTTCTGACCTTGAATGTGCCAGTACTGTTCTGACACTCGTCAGAAAATGGCGGTTGAACAGAGCCAATATTAACTTTTGTTAATATTGGCAAAACATCTGGAGAAGCGTACGAAATGATGAAAAGTGTGTACGGTAGTGATTGTTTGAGTCTCTCGAACATTTTTCGATGGTATGCTGTATATCGTGATGGCAGGGAGGACATTGAAGACACTCCACAGGCATCAAAGCCGAGAACAAGTTGCGCTGAAGAAAATGTGAAAAAAAGTGACTGAAATCCTTGCATCAGACAGATGTGTTTCTGCAAGACTCATACAGGAACCAAAAAGTACTGTGCATCAAATTTTGACTGAGGGTTTGGGCAAACAGAAGGTCTGTGCACGGTTTGTACTGCACGTGCTGTCAGGCGATGAAAAATATGCCAGAGTGGAACACTTAAAGGCATGTTACGGTCGGCCCAAAGTGATAAAATATTTACAAAATCGATTGTTACTGGTGACGAGACATGGTGTTTTCAATATGAGCCTCTCACAAAGCAGCAGAGGGCAGCGTGGTTGAGCCCAAAGAAGCCGAAACCAAAGAAAGCGTGCATGCAAAAGAGTCAAGTAAAGACACTGCTGTTTTCTTCTATTCCAAAGGAATCATTCACAAGGAATTTCTGTCAGAAGGTCAAACAGTGAATTCTGATTATTATCTCGGAGTCCTCAATCGTTTGTGCACGAGAATTCTTCGAATTCGACCTGAATATCAAGAGCAAGGTTCCTGGTCGCTCCTCCGCAACAATGCCCCACCCCACAAATCGAAGATTGTGCGTGATTTTTTGGCCAAAAAAGGGATCACAGTCCTTGATCATCCTCTGTATTCGCCAGATTTGGCTCCAGCAGATTTCTGGTTGTTCCCAGAAGTTAAGTTGGCAATAAAAGGAGACCGTCACAACACCATCCAGGACATCCGAAGGGAATCTACTGCAGTTTTAAATGTGATTCCACAAAAGGTGTATAGCGACTGTTTTCAAAAACTTTTTAATCAATTCCAGCTATGTATTGATTTAGAAGGAGACTATTTTGAATAAAAAGAGTGAAATTTTGAAAATAATTCATGTCTTGTATTTTTAATGAACACAGTCCTAACAGAACCTGGACATACTGTGTACACTAAATACATGTTAGAAGAACTGTTTGACTGAACAGAGTAGGTTATGATATTGTGACATGGATGCCTCCACAGCTAAATGGTTAAGTTGAAGATGCATTAAATACTGTTTTTCTAGGCATATTTTACTTATGGATGATACCTAATATGAGGGGGGATCCAAAAATAACTGGAAATGACCTGTTGCGCGCGCATGCTTTGTAGTTACGAGTTGTGCTGCTAGGTGGTGTTAGCTGGGGGTCTCCCGCGACTGTTAGTGAGCTGGCGTCAGCCTGAGTTAAGTGGTTTGTCTGTGGTGCTCTGTTGTGTGCGTTCCTGTTTCAACCCTTTGGCGATTAGTGAGATGGCCGAC